TAATGTGACAAGATTTCTATTTCGAAAAAATGCTGTTCTTTTTAACTTCTATATTCATCTGAGAATCTTGGAAAAAAACTAAGAATCTTGGGGAAAAAATGTATCTTGGTTTCCATAAAACTAAGCAGCGCAACTGTTTTCAACATTGATAATAATGTTAAGAAATGTTTCTTAAACAGCAAATCAGCATATCAGAATGATTTCTGAATGATCATGTGACACTGAAGACTGGAATAATGGCTGCTGAAAAATCAGCTTTGCCATCACAGAAATAAAAAAAACTGTTTTCTATTTAATGTATTCTTAAATATTTTTAAATTGTAATAGTATTGTATTAATATATTTTGCCATAATCTATAGCACTATTTATCTAATGTGATTACTTAACATTGTTTGCATTCATTTTAATAACAGAGAATGATTAAGCTTATAAAGTGTTGTTGGTTTGCAACATGCACTGTTAGCTAAAATCTCATTGTGGCTTGTTTTTAAGCATTCTGTATGAACATTCTGTTGTTAAAAAGACTCAAGACACCCAGTGTTTGTTTTCTGATGCTGTGCCATATTTTCTAAAAGATATCTGTGGCTCTTTCATCTGTCCTACTTTAACTTCTGTGGAGTGAATGTATGCATGTAAACCTGGTAATAGTGAAATCACATTACATTATTGATGAGCCATCTGCCTCGAGTGTCACTGGGATGAGGTGAACCCCTCTGCTTTGTGGTCTTCTGAGCTAGAACAGAAACGCAGACAGAGTGAAACATGGATAGTATGTTGTATTCATTAGCTAATGTGTGATGTTGACAACATTTACTTTTGGCTAATTGCAGTTTATATGTCGCTGTGCTATATTTTCTAAAAGATATCTGTGGCTCTTTCATCTGTCCTACTTTAATTTCTGTGGAGTGAATGTATGCATGTAAACCTGGTAATAGTGAAATCACATTACATTATTGATGAGCCATCTGCCACAAGTGTCACTGGGAAGAGACGAGTCGAGTCTTCTTAGGTAGAACAGAAGCACAGGCAGAGTGAACATTGATAGCATGTTGTATTTATTAGCTAATGTGTGATGTTGACTTAACATTTAATTTTGGCTAATCGCAGTTTATATATGTATATGTCATTTTATTTTGTGAGCCCAAGATATTTATTGCTTTGCATCGCAGTTTGCACTTAATGATTTTTCTTATACATCTACAGGTGTATCTATCTGCACAGATTCATCAGAGAGCTTTCAGCCCTCAGGCTTTTTGCTCTGTTGACTGGCTTTGAGGAAATCAAAGCTGGATGTGTTAGAAAATCAGGGATTCAATGTTCGTTTAACCAGTAAGTTTTTTTTGTTTTTTTTTAGTGCAGTGCGTGACGACCTGTGCTGTTTTTATTGAATGTGGTTTGAAGCATTAGTGTCAGGCTGGGCAAAGATTAAACAATGACTCCAGAAAGCCAAATGGCTGTGCTGGCAAGTGGAAGGAAAGGGAATGTATTCCTGTCCAATCAAATGATTAGTACCAGGCTTTGGCTGCGGCCACTGAAACCAGCCTTTACTGAACACAGCAGGAGCATTGAGGCCATACAGGCAGGAATAACACAACTTCAACACTGCTGTTTTTTTTCATTTCCTTGCTCAGGCCACTGTGTTCAGGTCAAATTGCATCAAAGACTGTAATTTAGGGCCTGAAAGAAGGCCATGAGACATAATGGGTGAGTTCATTAAGTTGCGCCACTTCAGCATGTGGTACTTCAACGCAAAAACTGGAATCCAGTTTATCCAGGTGTTTTTTTTTTTTCTTCTTTTTTTTTCTATTCTAATATATTTTAAAATGTAAGTTAAAAATCAACTATTATTCCAGTCTTCACTGTCACTTGATCCTTCAGAAAAGGTAAGATTTTTTTAACCCACTTGTACCCAATGCAAATTGATTTTACCACTTTTTTATTATACATGCACTTATGTTGTGCATGTGTGTGTGTGTGTGTGTGTGTGTGGCCTTGTGTCCATTTTTTGTTTTTTTGTTTGCCCTCTGCAAATAGCAATCAGATTGGGAAAACAACTTTTTTATAAGCATCTTTACCATAATTCCTTTAGTGAACAGGGCACTATAGCAATTATTAGTTTATAGACAGTTTAAATAAAAGATGCTATTATTTCAGAAGGTGCTGTTCATTCTTAGAAAATTTCCCCCTGTGTCAGTACATAAATTTGCTGTATGGGAACTTTTGTATAGAGGTGCGTTACAATACTTGTATTGAAAATATACTCTATAACCAGTTAAATTTGTGCTGTTTTTGAAATAAAAAGTTTCATTTTATATCACTTGATTAAATGTGATTGAAGTAGGTGTAGTACAAAACAATTCTTCAGCTGAGCGCTAATTTGGGATACCTGAGTAGTCCCAGAATCTAATATGTTTTTAGACGTCATAATAATAGATAGACTTAGCTGTCATGGTCTCTGTGGACCGCAGTGCCATAAAGGTGATTGAGATGATACATTTAGCCATGCTTCGGTTCGTAGCTTATTCAGTGTAATGAAATTAACCATTTGTAAGGGAATTAATTATTATTAATTCATTCAGGTTTTAAAAGGACTCGAATCTGAAAATTCGAGGTCCACCTGATTAAACTGATTTCAAATTTGATAGTTTACACTCTATCAGTTTCTCGGCCAGCGAGAAGTTAATGTCAGTGTGTATTACCAATTTGACTATATGTATTTTCCTGGTCCGTTCGAAGACAGAGATCCTACATCAGTTCATTAAATGCTTGTGAGAATGGATTTCTAGGTCACGGCTATTGTAACTTATGAAAAGCCTATAATGCGTTAGCATATTAACTTGAGATCAAATACAGATAAATATAATTTATGAGCTTACATGTCCGTAGTTCTCATTTAATCGTATTCACTCTTCACTTTCTCCCAAGCGTTTTAGCTCAATTTTTCTCAGTATCCTTCTCCTTCCATTTTTTCCTCTCTTTACTTTTCCCATCTTTCCTCACTGCCTTTTTTGAATGTCTGTGTTTAATAGTGTGTCTGTAAATAGCTTCATTGCCATAGTTCCCTGTGGAGCCCCTCAAAGCATTAGACCTACACTTAGATGCATTAGCCTTCCCTCACACTGGAATGATATAGGAGACAGTGATGAATTAACTATATAGTTGTGACAGAACTATATAGTTAACCTCCTGACACATCATCTCTCGCCAGTCGTTTCCCTGTGTCCAGGCATGTGACAGGAGCTGGTGGCCAACATGAAGGACATGATGCTGGATTTATGGCAATGGTCATGAGGCACAGTTAGCATCAGGTGCGCATTGTCGCATGCTGCTGGCGAGACTGATGTCACGCCCCTCCTCTGGGCTCCTGTCATGAGCCTGTACATCTGATAGGGGCTGCGTCTGCTTATAGGCAGCTGAATTGTTGCCTCGCTGCCCTATCAGTCAATGACTTTGAAAGCAGCATTTGTGCACAAAGATACCACCCAAAACTGATTTCAGACAGACATCTGAGGCAGCATAGCAGTTAAATGATCTATAACTAAATAGGGAAAGCTTTGGTAAAAAAAAGATTTTAATTACTACAGTACTATTTCCTTGCTAGAAATGACATCAGAAGTTTTTTTTAGCTTAACTATCACAGAATTGAACAGACAGGATTGTGGGATATCATAGGTAGCGAAGGATACATCTATGCTGCCTTCAAAAATCGATCGGATGAAAGTGTCTCTGCAGACAAGATGTGACACACACACACACACACACAAAGTGGTCTTAACACTCAGAACCAAAAATGAAAAATTACACTCAACCTTCAAGTCTCCTTGTGCTGATTTGATAAAACAATGCAAAGTTATTCTGAATATGTTCTGAATATGAATATATACACTACTGTTCAAGTCTGGGATTGTTTGTGTTTTTGAAAGAAGTCATGCTCACTTATGCTCACCAAGGCTGTATTTATTTGATCAGAAATACAATAGAAGCTGTAATACTGTGAAATGCTATTACAATATTTAAATATTAAATAATAAAAAAAAATTATATTTTCACCAGCCACTACTCTAGTCTACAGTGCCACATGATCCTTCAGAAATCATTCTAATATGCTGATTTGATGCTTAAGAAACTTTTCTTATCATCATCGTTGAAAACAGTTGTGTTGTTTGTTTTTGTAGAAACGTTATACTTTTTTCCCCATGATTCTTTGATTAATAGAAAGCTCAAAATAGCAGCATTTATTTGAAATGGAAATATTTTGTAACATTATTAATGTTTCTTACTGTCACTATTGATCAATTTGATGCATACATTCTGAGTAAGTGTAAATTTCTTTGAAATCTCACTGACCCTGAACTTTTGAACAATAGTGTAGATGATTTTGGCTAATCCAATCCCAACTAGACAGTGCTAAATGCAAATGTAAACAGCTTTCAAAATGTTTTGACATGCAATCAGTTAAACCACATTCGTAAATGCACCTCTGATTGTTTCACATCAACAACTAATGACATGTATCCAAATGACTGTTTATATAGGATCATGACTAAAACAATTAACTTTTTGTGTTTTATTGTTCATAATTGCTTGTTGTCACAAAATCAGAGATCCTTTCTCTTGAAATTCACTCATAAAAGGCCACAAGTGCCGATCTGTCTTGCCCAACGGTTTATGATGAGATCATCAAAGATGAATGTAAAAAGGACAGCAATGCTAGTGACTGATGAATCTCTTGTCATAAAATGGTGTGTTTTGCTGTTGTAGGTATGATTATGTGGAGGTGGAGGAACCTGTCGGAGGCATGGTGTTGGGTCGTTGGTGTGGCTTGTTGTCACAAAAGCAGAGATCCTTTCTCTTGAAATTCACTCATAAAAGGCCACAAGTGCCGATCTGTCTTGCCCAACTGTTTATGATGAGATCATCAAAGATGAATGTAAAAAGGACAGCAATGCTAGTGACTGATGAATCTCTTGTCATAAAATGGTGTGTTTTGCTGTTGTAGGTATGATTATGTGGAGGTGGAGGAACCTGTCGGAGGCATGGTGTTGGGTCGTTGGTGTGGCTCAGAGATGGTTCCAGGGCCCCAGGTATCAAAGGGGAACCAGATCCTGATCCGCTTCGTCTCTGATGAATATTTTCCCTCGGACCCAGGATTCTGCATCCGTTACTCTTTGCTTCAACAGGTAAGGAACGACTCATGTGCCACATTCTTGCTCATGCAATGCTTATGCAGCATTTACTGAGAGGGCTAGTTGTGTTTTTACTGAACACATTTTGTTAATCCCTAATGGCCATGTACTATATTATTTCTCCACCTGATGAACTTAAATACACAGTGTGCAAAGTATAATTAGATGTTTATGAGAAATTCAGTGAGCTTTGCTGCATAGAGACACTTAAAAAGTTGAAGAGATGCTGTATGTACTTAAAAAAAAAAGAAATACTGAGAACTAAAACATACTCCCATTTTATTACAATGCATCTGTTGCTGTATTCACCATCCCTTCCTCTGAAATGACCTGGCAACCTTCAATGGCACTTATTAAGTTGGAAATTTCAAGTTATAATCATATTCCTACCTTAGAGACCTTCTCCTCAATGTTTCACTTCTTGTGGTGGTGAAAACCACAGTGGGGCGGGCTACGGTGTTTTCCACCTTGGCCGTGGTTCAGTTTCCTCCCTTTAATTTACACCCTGACAGGCATCACTCGGCACATTTGAAAAGGATTATTCCCCTGAAACTATTTAATAGACATGCTTGGCTTTGATGTGTGATGCCTGTCAAAGTTTTATGACTCCACTTTCCCTTGCATTTGTTTACTGAGGCTTTAGAGCGTGTCTGAACGCTTTGCAACATTGCTCGAAAATTGCTGTCGTTGTTTTCCAGTGAACAAAGGTGTGCTTTATCTCCTGATAGATAATGGCTGCATCTATTCTGCTGAAACGTAATTATTTTAGTGTTGATTGTGGTGAGATAGGCCACTAAAATTAGACAGGACAAATGTGGCTGTGGATTTTCTTTTCAAAGAAAAGAAAAACATATGGCATTTCCATATGCCATTTCCTTCAGATCTCATACTGCTTTTCTATTGAAAGTGCTGATGCTGATCTGTAGTTATTTTTCTGACCTGGCCTGCATTTCCGCTGATTTGAGACCTGAATGATGTAACAGTGCTACTACATTACCTACCAACAAAAATATTGCCCATCACTGTCATCACTTTAAGAGTCTTGGGGAGTTTTGAGAGCATATTTTAATAATCAGTCACAAAGTTATACACTACTGTTGAAAGGTTTTGGGGTCAGTAAGATTGTTTTTTTGTTTTTTTTAAGAAATTAATTATTTTATTCATCAAGGATGCATTAAATTTATCAAAAGTGACTGTTACATTGCAAAAGATTTCTATTTGAAAAATAAATGCTGATCTTTTGGACTTAGTATTCATCAAATAATCCAACTTTGCCTTCACAGGAATAAATTACATTTTAAAATATATTCATATATTCAAATAGAAAACAGTTTTTTGTTTGTTTGTTTTTTGTTAGTGTAATATTTCACAATATTACTGATTTTACTGTATTTTGATCAAATAAATGCAGCCTTTTTGAGCATAAGAGACTTCTTTCAATCATTTTCAACTTCAATCAACTTTTTAAAATTCGTACTGGCCCCAAAAATCTGAACAGTAGTGAAATTCTTTGATTTAGAATTGGGACTGTTTAGTTTAGTGTGGTCAATTTTTGTTTTGTTTCCTTCTTGCAAGACTGAGTTGTTGTCCTTTTTTAAATCTTTTTGTGGTCTGGACTTTATCCCAACTTCCTAGCCGCTGAACAGTGCCTTCACAGGAATAAATTACATTTGAAAATATATTCATATATTCAAATAGAAAACAGTTTTTTGTTTGTTTGTTTTTTGTTAGTGTAATATTTAACAATATTACTGATTTTACTGTATTTTGATCAAATAAATGCAGCCTTTTTGAGCATAAGAGACTTCTTTCAATCATTTTCAACTTCAATCAACTTTTTAAAATTCGTACTGGCCCCAAAAATCTGAACAGTAGTGAAATTCTTTGATTTAGAATTGGGACTGTTTAGTTTAGTGTGGTCAATTTTTGTTTTGTTTCCTTCTTGCAAGACTGAGTTGTTGTCCTTTTTTAAATCTTTTTGTGGTCTGGACTTTATCCCAACTTCCTAGCCGCTGAACAGTTCTCTGGTAAGTGCCAGTAAAGAGCCCGTTTTTCCGGCCTTTTCTGGGGTGGAAATGCATGAAATTGTTTTAGCTCATCTCTGGCTCCAAAACTGACAACAGTAAAAGGACATCGGTTTGGCTTTAAGGAGATCTTCTAACAATGGCACAGATCAGTTGCATGGAAATGGTGCTTTTTAGTTTAGTTATTTTTAGGGATTTTTCCCTAGATGACGTTCATTTCTGGCTTTCAGATATAAAATGAAGTATGCTTGCATGTATAATGATGTGTAAATGGGTACATTCTCTACTCTTTATACTAGGTGGTGTGTTTTTCTTTGAGCAGTGCTCTATTATTTCAGAGGAGGTGGTGTGTTATAGCTGGTTTCTGGACACTGAGCTCGCATCAGAGAAGTTGTGGCTGAATCAAGCTCTATTTATAGTGTTTGTGGAGGAGGATGTTGAGCTGGAACCTACAATTCCAGCCCTGACTCACATTGCACATTCTTTGTTTTCTTGCTCACTAAAGCATTTGTATTCAGGAGACTTGTGGTCAGGAGTTACATCTTGAGTGTTGTGCTGTGCGCCTGTTTGAGTCAAATTGTTTGAAATATTGTCTTACCATAAAATGTCAGGGAGTGTGTGGCAGAAGGTCTTCAACAAACCAAAAATAAGTTTTTTTGCTCTTTTAATGAAACATTGCTTTACAGTCCTACAATTATTGTGGTTGTGTGCTATCTTGACATTACAAATGTGAGCATATGCATGATACATTGTTAAATGCCAGGCAAACACAAAAATACAATTTCAGAGTATGTTGGAATGTGGTATGTGGAACTGTTAATTCGCCTGACTGTTCCCAGATCCAGTGCACTTCTCATGTTATTATAGTCTTTACTCTACCTGTATTTATAGCTCAGGTTTTTTCCCCGTCTATTGATGCTAAGCTAAATGAGTGCTTCAGATCTTCTGCTTGAAAGTTCTGCATTCGTTCCCTCTTATGATGCAGCTTGAGGAAATTAGTGGCCTAGCTGGCTGGCTGTTGGCTTTGTACGCAGTGGCAATGGGCTGCCATACTGGAACAGCCGAATTCTGTTTCTCTGTGGTCAACCTCAGCTACTGGAAACCCGGGATCACGGGGACACCCCTGCGCTTTCTGTTTAAACAAGCAATCACTCCCCTTCACCACTACCACAGAGAGAAGGGGGAAAATGAGCCCCAGCTGCGATTCTCAAGAAGAGACTTTGGGAGCTGGTTAGGGGTTGAGGGAAGAGGTCATTAAAACAGCACCTAGCTCTGGAAATAAGAAAAAAATTGTGATTCTCACGAAAGTCAAAGGAACTAGACTGCTGCTTTTAGCTCCCAGCTGGATTTCATAGATGTTTTCCTCCTTGAATGCCTTGTGCGTGTGCTTACAGATTGCCACTGGCTTTGTACAATCTTTACTGCCATTAAATTTACCAAAATAGTCTAGAACAAAGGCAAGAGATGTTTCTTTCCAAGCAGAGTAACAGGTTTCATAGGCACCAAAAGTGGGACATGGTTGCTGAGGCCAAACTAAGTTCAGGACAGGTTTTTTTATGAACATTTTAAATTAGGAACTGCTTCTCTTCAAAAGAACGAGTTTAACATGCAGTGTGAGCACAGTATGCACTTGTGTGTAAGAACCTTTTTTAGTTGCCACTTGTTTTTGAAGTAATTGTAGATGATGGTTTTGTTGGCCGGATCTTTCTTCTCAGCAGCATTAGTTCAGGACAACCACAAGGATTACTGAATTACATAAGGCGTATCATTTCAAATACAATGTCTATTCAAAATTCAGATTTAGATGTGTGAAAATGACTCCAGTCTCCAGTCACTTAATTTCTCTTCTCCTCTTCTTACAACCACTGTGTATGATTGGCATGCCACCAATCTTGGCCTTCAACAAGTAACATCCACAGTGAATCACCCAAATTTTTGAGTGAGACCTCTGCACTGTTATTTGGTTTTCTACAGAGCTGAGAGCTGTCTGCTCTCATGTGTGTTCTGACAGGCTACTGGCAGACATCTGAGTCTGTGCGCTCATGTCCATCTGTTAAGCCATTTTCCTTGTTTCCTTGTAGCCAGAAACCTACAACCAACACCATTTGAAACATCATATTGTCAGGCTACAGAACATAAATGAGGCCATAATTTTGCGGATTATAATTTGGCTTTAATCAATGCATCAGTTATGAAATATGATGACATGAATGTCTTACTGTGAATATTGCATTTCTGTAATGACATCAGTTACTGAGTGACTGATTCATTTTAAAGTCTTTATACCTGTAGTAGAGATCTAAGGTTTGGGGAAAGTATTAAATTGTCATTTGTTTCTTTTAATATGTTGAATTTAAATGCATGATTTCATGTTTTAAGTCTGAAATTCTCCTGAATTTCTTTTGTTTTATCTTGTGAGCGAAGGTTGCACAAGCGCTGTTATATACACTTCGGTAGGGATGCTTGGCTCTGGCTTTATAGTCCAGGGCTCAGAGGATCTTTAATTGACAGATTGAAAGACTGCCTCACATTCACAAGCTGTTAATGGTTTCCATTCCCCACTGCTGACCGATGCCAAAACTGGAGGCCAGCTTTCTGTATTGAAGGATAGCTGAATGTACAAGTTTTTAGGAGGTCATTTTAACTGCTCCAGAGCTTACAAAAAAAAAAAATGATTAAAAACATTTTGATGTATGCAGCTGATTTACATCTCCAGTGAATTATGACTTAAGATATATTAAAGTACACAACACTATAATATTAGTTCACGTCAGGCATGAGTGGAAGTTATAGTGACTTGCTATTCAGCGAGTCAGATGATAATTCAAGTGTTCATTAGAATGATTCAAATGGGTCACCTTGAACAATTCAAATGACAATAAAATAAGTGGCTCATAAGAGTCATGCATTTGTAAATCTCACTAAGCTAGTCGCAGTCTTTGTTTTTGCGTGCAGTAATGAAGATAAGGC